GGCGGGAGAAATACCTTATAACCTAATAATTTAAGTTTCATAGTACATTAAAATATGTTACTGTAATTAATAATCAACGTTTCTAGTATCATGTTTTACGTTATTTGGTACAAAATTATTACAATAACTTCCCTTCATTCTTTGCTTTTTTCAGATAAACTACTGTCTCCAGATTCCTTGCTTTCTCCAGATAATTATCATTAAGTGCATTAAATATTAATCCCATGTATAAAGAGAACACGGGGTCAGTCAGACATTACGGAAGATGGGAATCTGTATAAGTTCGAGCAGGCAATCTGCTAGAATAGAAATTAAAGGTAGTTAAGCCACTAGTTTTCCGGCACGGATTCTAGTATATCCAAGTCTTTGACTTAATGTTTGTTCTGACTCATTTCACTTAATGACGGTTACCAAGAGATATCTTAAGATTCTTGCCTGGTAGGCGGGTACTGCTTAAGAAATAACTGTTATTCATTTGAAATTACAGATCTTGGACCTATCAAAAGTCCTCTCAAGTCAGTTCTCTCATTGTATTGTTGCCATGGCCATAATACCACAGAGTGATTAGAGAAATCCGTTATGATTTGAAAGTGAATGTCTAGATTTACACCTTTCTCTTACTTTTAGAGTACTAAGTCGAAAACGCACGCATGAGTTATAAAAAAAAGCAGCTTTAATTGGATGGACACATCATCATTGATCTGTGAGGCATGATTTCGAAAAGGTACAGGCAGTACGGTTTTGAAAATGCACATGTTTTGGTTAGACAAATGCATTATACGCTATTCCCAATAATATGCGTACCCATTCATGATACTAAGCTAGGTTTTTTACTTCGTTTACACAGCCTGTTTCGTCAAATCATACTCGCGTACACATATACCCTATGAACTATATATGCATTATTTTATTTATAAATATCTGATCTTTTAAAGTTCACGGAAAATAAATATTACGAAATGTGTGCTTTTCACAAGATAGAAAAATTGTACGGAAATTATCAAAAACAATTAATGGTGCGTAATTAGGAAAGAGATATTGCAAAAACTTTCGATTCCCTGTGAGAAGGAAGAAAAGGAAATTTTCTCTAAGTGTGAAAAGATTCGAGGAAATAATTAAAAAAACGGATTTGCTTTTAGAAGAGATAAGTTACGCTCAGCCCCCGAAATTATCACTCATCCTTGTTATTTGAAAAAAATATTAAAAGGAAACTTAAAAAACTAAATTTAATTTGTTAAGCAGTTTATATTACATATTTAGCATTATTTTTCCTTTTATATTTACTTCCTTACATATATATAGAATGTTTCTGTTGTTAAGCACCTTTTTTGTTTCCTTCTGTATGTCTGATTTGCAAAATTTTTGTCAAAAAAGGGGAAGAAGAGAGCATAATACATTTGCATATTTTCATTTTGTAATGCAGTACGATTCTCACTTTGTGTGTTTTGCAAAATACTTTTTTAGTAATTCATTAAGTCACACTTTTAAGGTGAAAATCAGGTTTCCTTTTGAGGTGGCGACCTTCATATTGGCGCGGATGTAAGACAATTCTGCCCCATAAATAACCTTTCTGTATACGACACATATTCTCACATACTTAGTCTAATAATTAAAACGTATATATATATATATATATATATGTAATGAAAAATACATAGTAAATGTTTATGGTATAGAACGAAAATCCATTATTATTATTATTATTTTTTTTTCTGAAAATCCGTATTGAAGAGGAAACTTGGTAGCCACGTAAGATTAATATTCAACTTTATTTGAATTTACATTTTTACAGTTATACAAAATTTACTCGTCACTCCAAGTGCAATATTTACAATTTTGATACTGTTGGGATAGGAAGACAAAAGAGCGAAATAGTGTCTTAACAGGAAGACAGGTAGAAGCTAACGTGCGCTGTTAATCCAGTATGGCAGCTTATTAAGAGAGTGTTTCGGTTTAGGTTGCTCCTTAAGAGAAAATTTTCAGGTTTCGAAATTTTGAGTTGAGATTCCAAATCAGATATGTGATCAACGTTTGATCTAGAAATGACGCAGTCCAAAAAACTTATTACTGTTTTTAGAAAAGAGAGAGAGGGAATTAAAGATTCTTGCTAATTTAAATTATAATTTTGAGATTTATATATTTTTTATCTTACAGACACACACATATATATATATATATTTAACTTAAAGCATATAAATTTAAAAGTAAATAAGAGTCAGAGCAAGGCAATTCCTCTATAAAATTAATAATTGTAACCACGTATAAGAGGTTTAACACAATATGTATATTGTGTTAAACTTCTTATACACGATTACTCCGATTTGCGTTTAACATAAAATGCATTAAGTTTATTTTACTTCAGTCCTGCAGCTATAGCGCAGGACGGGTACAAAAAATTTTGTTTTTAATTTTTAGTCTCTTATTATGTTTCTTTATGTATATATGTATATATATACGTAAAGAAACATGTATATATGTATACATGTATATACATACACACACACACACACATATATATATACACTGGTGTGCAAAAATTAAGGACGAAGTCGAAAAATTAGCATATCAGCTGAACGAAGAGGCGGAGCGGACAGAAAGACCAATCAGGAGATTAAGTAAGGTGATGTACGGTAGCACATGCGCAGATATGCAGGTAGACGTAATGGGGGAGTATCTGAGAAGTATAAAGCATGTTGTCGGTGTAAGATCAGTATTTCTGGCAAAGAGATTGCACGCCGTATAGCAGTTAAAATCACACCGAGTTGCTGCCTCAGCGAGAAATGGCGAATAATCAATCTGTTAGAAGACATCTGGATGCTTTTACCCGAGGTCGAATCATTGGAAAGTTGGAGGAAGGCCGCAGTGTGACAAGTGTGGCTGCAGAGTTCGGAATTGCTCACAGCATCGTTTGACGACTTTGGAGACAATTTCAAACTACAGGAACAGCTATCCGGGGGTTTAGTAGTGGTCGTCCACGAGGAACCACACCCGAAGATGACCGGTATATTGCCTTACAGGCCAGAAGAAACAGGCGGCAGACAGCGGGAGAAATCGCTAGACACACGACACAGGCGACTGGACGACCGATATCGCGTTTTACCGTGGCCAGAAGATTGCACGGTGGTGGTCTGTTTGCACGACCACCACCGTGCAATCTTCGTACATATATGTACTTCGTATATATATGTCTTCGTATATGTATGTACGGTGTGTACCTCTAACGCCTGCCCATCGGAGAAGGCGTGCTCTGTCGTGCCGGGAACACCGGTATTGGAGAGACAATGAATGGGGACGAGTACTCTTTACAGATGAGAGCAGATTCAGTCTGAGTAGCGATTCTCATCGCATACTCATCTGGAGAGAACGGTGAAGCCGCAATCATCCCTCGAACATCATTGAAAGGGATAGTTATGGAGGTGACGGTGTTCTCGTTTAGGGAGGCATCATGCTTGGTAGTCGTACAGACCTTCACATCTTCGACGCAGGTTCAGTCAACGGGACCCGTTATTGTAACGAGATTCTTCTTCCATATGTGCGTCTTTTTAGAGGCGCTATGGATCTGCATTTCCTTTTCATAGACGTCAGAGCACCATGTAATCGCACAGTAGCTGCCGAACAGCTCTTAGAGAGTGAGGATATTGAACGTATGGATTGGCCGGCACGATCTCAGGATCTCAATCCCATCGAGCATGTATGGGATTTTCTAGGCAGACGCTTGGCAGCTCGTACCTTACCACCAGTAACGATTCCGGAGCTTCGATTGGCGCTGCAAGACGAATGGGCAGCAATGCCTCAACAACATTGACACCCTCATTCTCAGCATGGGCAGACGCTGTGAAACCTCCCTAGCAGTCAGGGGAGATCATATCCCCTATTAAAGACCGGATGTTTCTTGCTGGACACCCATCACAGGGATGTTTCGGCCTTCAGTCGCATTGCGCTCCATGCTACGTTTTCAATAAAGCTTCTTTTTATCCCTCTGATTTCTCTTTTAGTAAGTGTTGCTTACATTACTCATGTTCTTACGTATTGGGGATCTTACGGTATTAAATGTGTTGATTTGGAAAGCTTTTGTACAAAGTTATATTGAAAAAACCGTCTCGTCCTTAATTTTTGCACACCAGTGTATATAAGAATTGAATTGAGATATTTTATCATTTAGTCCTTAAATTTAACTTAAAACGTATTTGCTTAATTTAATTTAAAGATATCACATTTAGAGAATGTAATTAATTATCTCTTTCATATTAAATCTGTACACGCAAAAATCACTTGTATGCGTGTTCTTTTCTTCGCTCCCCTTCTTCTGTATCTTCCTCTCTCTCTTTCCTTTTCTTTTTCTTTTTTTTGGTATATGTGTTTTTGTATGTGGGGGGGGGGGTATGAATGAGAAGTATCTTCAAGGAGTTCAGAATAGTCTGAAATCCTTGGGCCATTACTGCATGTTATATTTACATGCATTAGTTTTATTTTCCGTGAATTACCGTTTTCAGATATTAAATACTTTTTGAACATAATACCAAAGTATAGTCTCGCAGCGTTTTTGCATACCGATGGGCCGGAGGACATCTTGGGGGTGAGGGGAATATTAGTGTGAGGGACAATAAGGGAGCACTGAGAAGCATATAGGTAATAGTAACACACATGAAATATTTGGTTGCCCAAATACTATAAAAAATCATTTAAACATTCAGTTAGTTATAGAAATCATATATCCACGTTTCTCTATAAGAATAGTACCAGATTATACCTGTGAATACTTAGCACAAGTTGGTTCAAGTATCATATAGTGCCAATTTTCTATTCTTAAGAATCTGAATTTAGAAGCTCTGAGTCTAATATTCCGTAAAGTGATATAAAGTATACTTAAGTAGCATGTAGATTCTTTTGAAAGACAAAGAAGTTTTACTAAAGGTCAGTTTAACTTAAAGTTGAATTTTGCCTGATCTTAAAATTCAAGATTAACTTGAATGCAAAAAGTAACCGTAAATATAACTTGCCTCCATTTTAACAGCGTGCGACACCATTCCAGAGTCAATGGTAATAATGACGATGCGTGAACTGTTGTCACCTACGATGAACGCTCTGCTGTATTGACGAATGTGGATTCCTTTTGTCACTTGGGCCATTTTAGCATATCCCATCTGGAAAAAAAAAAGAACATGGTTGTGATTGTTTACAAGAAAAAATTATTCCTCATTTTAACTGATTTAATTATTAATGCTGATACAATTATTAAAACATAATTATTAAACTGCTACAATTATTAAAACATTAATAATTAATTTAATTATTAACGTTTTAAATTATTTTGTATAGAAGGTTTGATGAGCAGGCCAAAGGTAGACATCTTTTCAGTAATTCAACTTTATGCTTTCCTGCTGAAAATATTTGAATTAAATTGGCCAGACTTTGACACCACCAAGGATGACCACTGCCCTGACTTTTTCTAGAAGAGCTTAGTCATTATGGTAGATATCAGGTAATATTATCTAGATGCCTCCAAGAGAAGGGTTAGTAGACCAGACTACATTTAATTCAATTCTAAAAATATATACATATACTATTACTTTGAGTATTACATTTGTGAAATATTAATACATACATTAGGACATAACGTAAGAGTCCATTTTACGTAAACCCATGATTCTAACCATGATACGTAAGTCTAGAATAATCATGACACATAAGTACATGGCATGTCCATGATACAAAAGTTAACGATATGTAAGTCCATGATAATCATCATACATAAATCATAATCGTAAGTCGTGCAATAGCCATGTATCATAGATCTTGATACATTTTAGAGCTCTGCCTTGGGATGTTCATTATATTGCCTTTTTCATTCTATTATACTGGCATTGCATTGCATCTGTTAACTGAAGCATATTGTGCCGCAGAATAGTTGGCAATTTCACTAAATTGGCTAGACTGATAACCATCAAATTTAAAGCCTTTTGGCTGGCAATTGGGCAGAGACCTAATTTGCGAACAATAACTAGACAGAAGTTCTCTAAAACAAATTGGTAACAAAATGCAGGAAATAAATGGAAGTACAGATTTACAAATTACTATTAGTCTAACAGAATTACTATTAGTTGAAAGAAGAGCTGAGAGGTGAGTGAGTTCGGAACGTTCTTCCGTATGTAAAATATAATTCTTATCATTTTTGCTATTGTACGCAAATTTAAACTATTTAGAATCTTAGAAAAGCTTTGTTAGGTTTTATTTTTTCTGAAGAAGTTTACATCCGCTCTGTCCAACCCGTCGATTGTGACGTACTTTTGAGTTGATCTGAAGCTGTACATTGCTAGATTATCATTTTACATTTTCTCCTCTAGCCTTAAATTGCAATGTAAGGTAAATGATCCATTTATTATCGAAAACGAAGAGAAATAATGTAGGAACCTTGTTCCGTCAATGGCACAGAAGGTTTCAGTAAGGGGTTTATGATTGCCGCAGAATTTGCTCACAGTGGGAAATTAAAACTAAAAGAATGGAATAAAATGTTAAAATCAACTCAACGTACTTGCCGATATTTCGAGAAGAAATTCCATTTCTTTATCCCAATGAATTTCAAAGAATGAAAACTTTATCAAGACAAAGCAATAACTCGTACTTCGAAAAGTATCACTGCATTCCTTGAGAAAATGAAGACTGACATAGATACTGCACACATAAATTTTTAATGTATTCCTGCGAAGTCCCCTGACGTTTCATCTGTGGACCATTGTTCCTTTGTTCTCTTGAAAAGAGCTCTTTCTAATCGCAAACCCACCACGATTGATGGACTCTGGAAAGTAGTGGAAGATGAATGGAATTCAGTACCTTTAAAATTTTATGAAATACCTTTCTGTCATGGAAATCAGAAAGGTTCTCAGATAGAACATTTAAAAATACTCTTTATATTTTAATCATTAATTAACCTTCCCCCAAATCGTTCCAAAAATGTGTTGTCATCCTCTTTGACATGAGACAATCCTATTCTAAGATATGTTAAGTGTTATTAATGATTACCGAAATTGTTTTCTACAGTTTCACGTTGAACTCATTCATAGAAACATTACCTACATTAGATGATATTTTCGTAGAATTTCCTTTTAATGGTTACTGACTTCGCAGCACTCTTAAAGCATCGAACTAAGAGATGGAAATTAATCCTAAATAAAATAAATTTTCAATTTAGTGCCCAAAATATTTCTAGTTTTCTTAAGGCACAAAATAAAATTACAATAATTTAAAATGCTAGTTTGAGGATGACCAGTTTGTAGATTATGAATGCTTAGTTTGCCTGTATAAAATTAAGTGCAGATATTCAGTCATTAGGCAGCAAGGGGACGCGACTGAACATTATTCTAAAGGAAGTATCGCTTGGTTAGGATCGAACATTTTTAAACTGTCACTTTATAGAACGCTCTGATTACGGAGTTAAAAAGAGTCACCAGATTCTTCCTCTTTTCATCGGGAAAACTTTTCTGTGTTCAACGAAAACATTTTAGGTAAGTGTTCATGGTGGATAAATGGAACACTTAATCAGAATAATTTGGGAACACCTGGACCCAACAGTTCAAATTTAAGAAAAGTGTTTGAATAAGATAACTGTTTGAAAGGAAGCAGTATATTTCCTTTCTGCGAAATATAGGCTATTAATTATGTTAAAATAGATAAATAAAAGAAATGACTAAAAACACTTTTTTATTTTAAATTATAGGACTGTTCGGATGCTTGTGAAGCCTTTGAAAATATCTTTAAAGATAAATTACCAAATTTAACTGGTACAACACTAAAAACAGAGGAAACTCACTAAATTTTGTTATAAATATACTATGCGTCCGGTTTGACTGGCATTATAGTCGTTTTAAGTGTTTTTGAGACGATTAACTTGGAAACACTGGAAAAATGGTTTATAACATAGAATAATATGAATAAAGAAGATTTTCTCTTTTAACAAAATAGCTGTTTATCTCATCTGGAAACATCGAGACTGGACCATGGAGAAGTGGAAGACTGTTACCTGGCCATTCGATGGAATCACGATGTCTCATTCCTCACGTCTATGGTCTGTTCAGGGCACGCAGTCTTCCAGGGGAACGGTTGCTCTTCCCTTTACAGCAGGTCATACACAGGCTGTTGGTGGTGGTATTATGCTTTGGAGGACGTTCTCATGGGCGGATCTGGGACTCTTAGTTGTGATTGAATAGACCATGAAAGCTGCGAACTATCTGAATATAACTGCGGATCATTTGTACCCTTACATGATGTCTGTCTTCCCAACTGGAAATAGAATCTTCCGGCAGGACGCCTCATTCCACAAGACTTGTATTGTGTTGTAGTGGTTCGAGAACTATATGGATGAATTTCAATCAATGTCCTGGCCCCTAACTCTCCGGATCTTAACTCTTTAGAGCACATTTGCGATGTCATGGAGCGGCAGCTCAGAGTTTAAGCACAACAATCTCGGAATATCTCAACTTTGCGTGATCTCTGCTCAGACATTTCGTACAACCTATCTCCAGTCACCTACCAAGAACTTTGGCATCCATGCCAAAGCGAGTTGCAGCTATTTTCAGGCCAAAATTCGCGCAACACGTTATTTAGTAGGTGGCCGTAATGTTTTAGCTCTTCAGTATATTTTGAGTACCCTCATGCCGCCCAGACTATATACATTTACAACCAAATGTTCGATACCAAGCTCAACGATACAGCTATCGGGAGCACTAATCACTATATCGTTCTTTGATAGCACTGCATGATAAAAGTATTATGAGTAACGGAAGTTATTGCTAATGCAAAGTCAAATCTTCAAATTAAAACCAATGATGTTGCTGCGTTGGTTTCCGTTTCTGAATATTTCGCCTTTAGTAGTCGCTTTCTATACTTTTCCATAGCCGATGGTAATAATATTGCTTTATAAATAACTTCTGTTTAATTTCCAGTCTTAATGATCACTCTTGTACTCAATAGCCACACTGCAACCGTAATGTGTTGTAAGTCCAGCTTCATCAGTGATATAAGCTCGTAAAAGTGATGTTTATTTGAAACAAAAAAAGGAAGTTTCAAGTTCTCCATTCGCCGTCCCTTTCCAAAACAGACGGTAACACCTTGCATTTACATAGCCATTTCTCTAATTCATTCAGTGCATAAAACATCCAAAGCATTTCATAAAATAGTGTTACTACTTTTACATAAGCAGATTAACATGCCTTGTAAACACACTTAATATAGGCTTAATTATGATATTCTGTAGATTAGATGCATTGTATTTCCAGTTCAAGTTATTTTCATGCCAAATTTGTTAATACATAATACCATTGTAATTTAAGGAATATATGTATTCTGCTTTTCATTTTTATTTTCTAATTTTTGACTGACGACAGCAGTAAAGTATTTTCATAACTTTTACTTTTTTCTCCACGATACCTTCTACTTCTCATTTAAATACTAATACTGCCTAAATGTATTTTTAATACAAATGGTATATGATAATGAGCGAACAATATTAATTAAAAATATTAATTCTTAACATGAAAATTCCCATAAAGGAAACAGGAACAATATACAATTATACCAAGGAAATTAACGTTTTTGTAAATTTTGCTTGATGCGAATGTTTTATCCCTAACTTACTTGACAAAAATCTCCTGTGTTTCGATATACCTTCTTTTTAAAGCGATATGTCTAGATTAAAAGCGAAAATATTTCTTTTTACAGTTATTAAAATAAAGAATTTCTGCTCTTCACTTGAGTTCGATTTAACCCAGGGTGGCAGCCAAAAATATAGAAAGCCAAAAAATATCGTTGTTTGAAATATTAATATGTATAAAGATATTTTATATATATATAACTTAGTAATTCAAACAGCTAACAAGAAGAAAATAAAGTATAAATAGCTCATAATTGGTACATCAGTGCATACATGAAAGCAAAGAATTACACAGAATAGCATGCTCTAAAATAAGATACAATTAACGAATTAATTAATCGGCGGCTCCTAATAAAGAGCTGTCATTAATACTCAATTCATGTTCCATTATCAAAGAGGGTTCTCAGCTGTCACAGTGCCTTCTAAAGGTAAAAGAACTGCAACTAAAAAAAAATATTTCAGCAGTCCACCACTTGAAACAATCTTTGTGGTTAGTCA